GAGGCATCTGCAAAGGAAATCCCAAGTTATCCATCAACTTCTTTGTGGGAAGAGGTGCACTGTATGTTAAATGCTTGTGGACCACTGTGTGAGTAGGGGGACACCTCCTAAAAGCCAGCTGGTATAATACACTTGTTTGAAGAACTGTGTATAGTGCACTGTAGCAAAGAAGAGAAATGAATTGCTGCTGTAGTGGGCTGGCTTCCGCTGTGGGCAGGTCAGCTGGCCGCTGACTCCAAATAGAGGCTGAAGCTTGAGCTAGAAAGTTGGAAAAAGAGCTGAGTTTAGAGAATTATGTGCAGTTGTCCACGTCTCTGCTACTTCAAGGTGGAAAGAGGATAGAGGAGGTGTGAGAGCAGGATAATAAGTTGGAGAACTTAGCATGCCGTTTTGCAAAGCTAGGAGGGCATAGACTGCCGCAAATGGAGGTTTGAGCAATTGTAAGAAAGCCTGATTCGAATGATGAGGCAGAATCACTGGGAAAGTGAGGAAAGCAAGGGGGAGGATGTTGCCATGACTGACAGTAAAACAGTGTGTCCCATGCTGTTTGACCCTTTGAGTACAAAGAGAAATTAGTTATTGTTTTACTCTGATGCTTTTGCAAAAGTGTTCCTGCAAAAGTGCTTCATCTTCAAGGGGATTCATGGACTCTGACAAGTATGAGTTTCTGATAACTAAGATCATTTTGCCTTCACGTAGGGGAGGGGTGACAAAGGACCATTCAAGTGCTTCCCCAGGGTCACCTGTGCAGTCCACAGTATGTCATGGGATGGTAGATTGAGGCCTCCCTTTATTCTCCTTTTCTACATCAATAAAATGGGCTCATTACATGATCATATAATATTAACACGTGAAGACGTCCCTCTGCTGTAGGACACTTTGAAGCCTCTGTTGGAACATCTGCATGAAAGAAGATGGGTGGTGACCCTGCAGAAAATTCAAGACCCAGTTATTGCTATAAAGTTTCTGGAAGTCATATGGGTTGGTAAGACACACGTTGCTTCTGAAGCTATAATTGATAGGGTACAAGTCTATCCAACCCTTAAGAATGTGAAAGATGTGCAAGTCTTTATGGGGATTTGAGGGTTATAGAGGACGATTATCCCACACCTGGCAAAGTGCTTTTGTCCTTCATATGGACTGGTAAAGGGAGAGCATATGTGGGACTGGGGGTCAGAACAGCAAGAGCCATAAAGAAGGCAAAATACTAGCAAAGCAGATTAAAGCTCTGGGTATCTCCTACACAGGGCTACTATTTGATTTAGATGTGTCTGTGAAGCTCTAAGTTGGGCACTGTGGCAGAGATAACAGAAGAGAGTACCCCTAGAATTTCAGTCCCAGCTCTGGAGGGGCAGAAACCCAGTTCTATACCCCCATAGAACAACAGATCCTAGCAGTGTACACAGCACTATTTCAGCACTGTTCCTCTCAAAAGAACAGCGTATCACGGTAAGACTTTCCTTCCTATCAAGGGACGGGTTGACAATACGTTCCATCCATCCACTTCTGCCATGGCTCACACTCCTGCATTGACTAAGAGGCATGCTTATTTATGGCAAAGGAGCATCTTGTCCACCAGCTCACCATCTCTAGAAATGTAAGTGCTATTAGGTCCTGTAGAGTATGTAGATCTACATGCTCCCACCCCCATTCCTGTGGCAGCCCCTGGGCCCTACAGAGAGGGAGTGGAGGAATTTCCCACTGATTCCTGATATAAGATACCTTGAAATGGGAACAAATCAAAGCAGCCTGTGGGCTGAACTCAAAGCGATTTGGCTGGTGATCATTCATAAGCCCTGGCCATTAGCCTTTTGTATGGACCAGTGGCCTTGTTAATATCCCCCCACCAATAATGATTCATGAATGCTGTGATTTTCTCAGTGGACCAATGGTTTCATGCATGTACAGTAGTCAGGAGTGGAAATTTTAGAGTTTCTGGTAGGACTATGTTGTTATTTTGTCTGAACCAGAGCTTTCTCTTCTTATCAACCAGCAATTGTTGGATTTACAATCTTGCCTTTTTTTTTTTTTTCCCCCTCCGAAGCTGATTGTTGACCTTCTCTGGCCAGTTTTCTAAATTATCATCTTGGGAAATATCCCTTCAGACCATGACAGGTTTGACAGCTGCTGATGCCTCGAAGGGCTGCATCCTTAGCAGAAATGTCAGAAAGGTGATTTCCTTTCACTTCCAGGAAGTCAGGTTTAGAATGTTCTGGAATCTTAATAACGGCTAAAGCATCAGGTAAAAGTATAGTATCCAATAATTCCTGAAAACATGGACCATTTTAAATTTTGTCTCCATTGAAGGTAAGGAAACTAAACTGCTTCCATAACATCCTAAAGTCATGAGCTACTCCAAAGGCCTGTCTACTGTCAGTATAAATGTTGACAGTTTTACCTTTTGCTAAAATGCAAGCCTAAGCGAGGGCATAGAATTCAGCCTGCTGTGCCGCAGGAGCCAAAGGCTAAGACACTGCCTCAACGACTTCAAAAGAGGGATACAATCGTATAACCAGCACATTTTAAAAATATGAACCATCTATTAACCATGAGAAGTCTTTTTTACTCAAAGCAGTCTCCTGCAGATCGTCATGGGCAGTCATGTGGTGATCTGTCAGTGTCAAGCAGTCATGAGGTGCTTTGTCGGTCTCAGAAGGGAGAAGAATAGCTGGATTAAGGTTATTACAACATGAAAGAGTTATATGGGAAGCAGTTAATAAGAATTTCATAGGAAATAAGGTGACTAATGGAAAGATGCTGGATGTGTGAGAATTCAGGAGAGTTTCTACTGCGTGATACAATGATGATTACAGAGGACCCAGAACAATTTCCTCTGTGGCTTTAACCAAGAAGGCAGTAGCAGCAATGGCTCTAGGACGAAGGGGGGGTATCCATGAGCTACAGGGTACAGTTGCTGGCTATAAAATCCTAAGAGTTTACGGTGAACCCCATGTTTTCAGGTGAGTACCCCAAGGGCATCCCCTTCCCTTTCATGCACAACAATGAAAAGGGCGGCCTGATATTCAGGAGGCCAAAGAGGAGGTGGGGTTATCAGACTCTCTTTTAAGGCTTTAACGGCTCTGTCGTCCTGTTCTTCCCGTAAAATTGGGTCAGTACTGTGATTCTTTAGTAAGACGGAGAGGTTTTGCCATAAGAGATTTGGGATCCAATTTCAGCAGCAGACAACTAGCCCAGGAAAATCTCACAACTGCCGCTTAGTTTGGGGCCTTGGGAAACTTAGGACACTGTGAAGCCTGCCTGGATACAGGTGTGGTCGTTGTTCGGATATCAGAGATCTCAAATAGTGAACCTGAGTTTGGACAAACTGTAATGTTTCTTTAGAGACTGGATGTCCTTTTAAGGACAAATGTTCTAATAGGTGGATGCTATCTTCTTGTGAGGAGACCTAAGAAGAGCCAAGGAGTAAATCATCCATGCAGTAAGATGGAACCTTTGAAAAAAATTGTATTGTCCCAATGAGTCCTTAAAAATTTGTGAGAAATAAAAAAGGCTTTCAGTAAAATCCTAATGCATTTCTGTTCAGGTATATTGTTTTCCTTCCCAAGTGAAGGCAAAACAGTATTGGCTAGCTTCAACAACTGGGACACTTAAGAATATACTACATAAATCATTTACCAGAGAGAATTTACTTCCAGTTGGGATGGAGGCTAGCAGTGTATGAGGGTCAGGGACAGCAGGGTGTTGAGGGGTAACAATGTGGTTTATTTGCATGAAGGTCCTGGACAAGCCTCCATCCTCATCCCTGTTAACATTATCACAGGTAAAACAGGAGCATTAGAGACTAGTGTAAGTGATACTGTGGCCCCGAGTTACATCATCTTTTATTATGGGCTTTGTACCTTAAAAGCCCTCTTTAATGATGGGATATTAATTAATTCTAGGAAGAAGTTCTGAAAGATCCATTTGAACCTGAATAGGAGGTGCGCTGTGGAATTTGTCAATATCAGTCGAAGAGTTTGCCCATAAAGATATCAGTTGATCCAACAAAGACAATTCATCAGTCCTCTTAGACCCAGCTACTGTATTATAATAAACAGAACAAATAAAATATGTTGAAAGGCCACTTAATTCACCAAATTGGCCATTCTGACACTTACCATCAAGCTCTAACATCATTTCTCCCTTTCAGGTAAAGGATATTCCAGCATGATGCATCTCTAGGAAATTTCAGCTTAATGAGTGGGCAGGGGCAGAAGACCAAGGAGAAAATAATGTGTATCTCAAGGGTCCTAAGCAAAAAGCATCAGTTTAGACCGAGTTCTATTGAATACCTTTTTCTAAAGCCCCAAATACAAATGTATTGTCAGAAATGAGTTGATGATATAATTTTAGTGTATCTTGGTGAGTCGCTGCTTTGTAACTTCAGGAATGTGCTATGTGATAGAATAATTGGTTTATGAGAGTTTCCATCATAATCTGATCATAGCAAATAGCCCAACAGAGAAATGCCCTACAAAGTCCATTGTGTTCATTGCTTACATTATCAGTGGCACATTCTTCTCACATCAGGTACATTAGTCAGTTACTAAGTTACCCATGCCAGAGGATGGAATTCTTTTGAATCTTGCCTAAACCTTTAGGTTCTAAATATTTTTGCATTACGTGAGAACATAGGGGTAAGGTTAGTAACATCAGGTCTGAAGTGTCAGTACGTGTCCCAGATATATGAGTCACTTTATTGCTCTGAGCAATGAAATGAGCCTCAGAGCAATAAAGGGCGGGACCTTGGACAAAGAGTTGTTGCTGTTAGTGTGAGACAGCCAGATCATTTTCCAGGCTAAAGAATGGTGAAAAAATGTATGGATGAGTTTGATTCTTGGCCAGGAAATGCTCTAGTGCTAGCATGATCACCTGGAGTTTGACTAATTGATCTGATATTTGTATCCAATGCTTAATCAGCGATGCCGTGTTCACGATGACGTGTTCAATTTAGGGCCAAAACGCAGCATCTCAGCAGTGGCCTACATCAGGTGTGGGTGTGGCACACTTGTCCATAAAAGTATAAATGCCTTGGTCATTTGCATGCTCCCAAGGGACTCCCAAAGTGAACAGTGTGTCTAGAAAGGTGACCTCTTTCAACATGGATCGAATCACAGAACAGAACACACTTCCTGCTGTATATGGAATATGCCAGAGGCACCGCTTTGGGCTCTTTGCTTATTCCAGGGTAAGACTCTGGGGGAAAGCCTGTGGGGTCCTGCATGCATGACCCAAGATCAAATTGGGAAGCTTGTTTTGGAGGATCAATCACAGAGACTCTGTCAGTTGTCAGTAGAGGCTCTAATTGCGTGTATATCCAGCAGAAGAGAATAGTTTCTAATACCAAAAAGTGTGGACAAATAAGTCCACTGTGGGTGGTTTAAAAACTTTTGGATGAATAAAAGAAGGGGTGTGGGGAAGACAACAATAAAGTGACTGTTATTTTGACAAACCCTTGAGCTATTCGTTTTCTCCATTCGAAGTCAATCATTAAGTGTCATGTGAATAAGTAAACAAGCAGAGCTGATAAATATGCTATAGCTGGAATTACCATGGTGGAAGGAAATGTGCCCATGAAATAGTTTCTACATCTGCTTCTGTCACCCTCTTCGGACAAAGGCCCCTGGTGTTGCCTTAGAGACATTTTCTAGAGTAGGATACACATAAATTTCTAAAGATGTTTCCAAGCAGGCACAGAGTGGGCTTGAGTTGTTCAAGAGTTTGATGTTTTCCTGGCATATGAAAGCAATTCTGTTGTTTCTTAGACACACGCATTTGCTTATACATAAATTGTAAATTATAAATATGTATATCTACATATATCTTAGGTGTACCTATGAGTTTCCACAGATGTATGATACTGCCATCAAAAGACAAAAGACATGACATCACCCCAAAAGAACACTATCATGGTTCCCAACTGAAAGAAACCTCTCCAAGATGAAAGTTAACATTATAAAAAATAGACTGAATTCCTTTGCTTTGTAATAACTCATAATTATTATTTTTCTCACTCTTCTTCATGTGCCGAAAGTCAAAGCACATGGAAATGAAACCTTTGAAAAGCAAAATGGGCTGTGGGGCTTTGTGGATCAACACAGACTTCCAGCCACTTCTGCAACAAAAAGACTGAAAATTTCTCATATATTCTCTTATACTTGAGGATATTTCTCAAAATGGTACTCTCTACAGCTCACCTCAATTATTCCTTCGATGATGCTCTAAGTGACCATGGCTTTGTGATGTGTCCACTGCGCGATCACAGTAAACTTGCGTGGATATCGCCCTACTCAGAGAATAAACTGAAAAAGCTCTAGAACAGTGCAGACTTAAATAATGCAGGGATTGATGCCACTTTTTAAAATTAAGAGGTAGAAAACTGTACAATATTGAACTTTTTTCCACTCAAGTAGAGGGCGGGTCTAGTTTGCATTCCTGTTGATTTCAAACATGTAATATAAAGATGCAAAAAAAAAAAAAGTGCAGAGTCTAGAGTTCTTTGTAATCTTCGGCTTGTGCACAATTGTTTTAGGATTTTTTTTTTTTTAAAGCTATTGTTTGAACTATCCCATCTCCACTAATACCCTTTGGGGTTTTAAAATATAAATTATTAGTTTGTATCATTTTTCTATCTACCTTTTTTCATGTATTTATCTGGCCATCTAAAATTCTGTAAAATATTCTTAAATGGAAAAAAATGATGTTCACTTAGACTGAAAAATTTTCTCAGGTGGAGTGATAATCACATTCATTATCTTGTGTTTTATGAGAAGGTGCCTCGACAATTCCCTGTTGATTTTGTTTAAATGGATTTTTGTCTTCTGTGATCAATTTTGTTGTGTAACAGTAAATAGAAAAACAAAAGCCTGTTACCCATGCTAACTTCATGTGTCAACTTCTATATTTACACATATTATCTCATTACTAAAATGTTCTGGCAAAGTTTGTATGTCATTTCCTTCTTAAAGGTATCACACTGAGCTGACAGGAGATTTAGGTTTTAAGTCATTTGCATGTGAATATTAAATCACACTTTGATAGTCTCTGAATAATAATAAAAATAAAAACCCACCAAAACAATGCCCAAACTCATGACAACATATCGTTTATACAAAATGTTTAACAATTGCAAAAATGAAGATGAACCATAGGTATAGGTATATCTATATCATTATGGGGGTTCTTTCCTGTTAACCACAAGAATGCAGGACTTTCGTACTGTGCTCTATTTACTTCTACAGGCATGAAACAGTGTTTAAATATACTGCATGGTAAAAATTCCAATTATCAACACTGACACCATCACTCACTGAGGCTCCTACCCTGACAGCAAAGATATATACACACCCCAGCCTCCCTACTATCTCACATGTCAGTTTACATAATGACTTATTCCAAATAAATTCATATTGGAATTTACTTATTCCAAATAAATTCATATCGGAATTTTGGAAAATAATAAATGCTCTTATACTTGCCAACCCTCCCCCCAAAAAACTTTATCAGTAAGAAAGTTAGGATGTATACAGGGAACTAGGCATATCCAGGAACTGTCACTAGGCCAGTAGGAAAAGCCAAATACCAAACTGCCCTTTTTAAATGGAGCCTTAAAATGTAACAAATACAGTATTATAAAAATTGAACTTAATTACATATTTCAAAAACATTTCAACTTATTGATGGATCCAACAGACTTCAAAGGAAAAAGAGAAAATATTAACTGATTTAAGGAAAATGCAATACCTATTAATCTTATGTATTATACTTGAAAGATGACTCAGAATTATCTCACCTCAATAATCAGTTCATAAATTAGTAAAAATCTACATGCCAGTGATGCACTTTTGTAAAGAAGCTAGATAAAACACATTTAGAAATTTAGTAATAACTCTCATGTGAAAAGTTTTCTGGAACATTATACGTGGCTTAATTTCCATCAAGTTTTCTCATGATACTTATATTTTATTTGGTAAGTTTTCTCTTGTAAGGATGTGAATCAACTTAAGTCGTTCCCACACTGTTTACATTGCGGTTTTAACCAATGACCACTTTCATACCTTCAGAAAAATCTAGGATTAAAGCTTTCCTCACATTGCGAACATTCAAATGATGTGTCTACAGGGTGCATTCTCCTGTCTTCAAATGGTTTGTGACAAATAATGGCTTTACCAATGTTTACATTCATCTGGTTCTCTCCAGTGTTCTGTCATGCAGTCTGAGATAACCGAAATAATAATGCATTTCTGCATTTTGTACACTCACAGTTTTTCTCCACTGAGATTTCTTTTATGTATTTGGAAACTTAGACGAGAACTGAAAACTTTACCTCATTGCTCAATTCACAGGGTCTCTCCTATATATATGTGTGTTGGTAAAAAACTGTTAAATCCAAAGGCTTTACGTTCATAGTGTTTCTGAGCAGTATGAGTTCTTTGGAGTGTTTGTAAGGAAATGTAATCCCTGCAGGCTTTACCACCTTTCTTACATAGACAGAACATCTCTGCAGTCTGATTTTATGTGTTTTGGAAGATAGCTAAAACACCTGAATGCTTTACTATATTTTTCACATTCTTAGGGTTTCTCTCCAGTGTGATTTATTTTGTGTTTCTGTAGAGAACTGTGATAACGGTATACTTTAGCACACTGCTTACATTCGTAAGGTTTTTCTCCAGTGTGACTTCTTTCGTGTTTTTTTAAGAAACGGGACTCTCTGAAGGCTTTACCACACTGTTTACATTCGTAGGGTTTCCCTTCAGTGTGTATTCTCTCATGCCTTTTAAGATAACGGAGACAACTGAATGCTTTAGGACACTGCCTACATTTATAAGGTTTCTCTCCAGTATGAGTTCTTTCGTGCGTTTGTAATTGACAGTAATCTATGTAGGCTTTTCCACATTCCTTACATTTATAGAGTTTCTGTTCAGCGTGCATTCTCATATGTTTGCGAAGAGAACTAGGAAAAGTGAATGCTTTACTACATTGCATACATTTATAGGGTTTCTCACTAGTGTGAATTCGCTCATGTGTTTCTAATTTACAGTAATCTCTGTAGGTTTTTCCACATTCCTTACATTTATAGAGTTTCTGTTCACTGTGCATTCTTTTATGTTTACTAAGAGAACTTGGACAAATGAATGCTTTAGTACATTGCTTACATCCGTAGGGTTTCTCTCCCGTGTGAGTTCTCTCATGTGTTTTTAAGTAATGGAACTCTCTAAAGGCTTTACCACATTGCTTACATGCATAGGGTTTCACTCCTGTGTGAACTCTTTTATGTTTGAGAAGAGAACTTGGAAAACTGAATGCTTTATTACACTGCTTACATTCGTAAGGTTTCTCTCCAGTATGAGTTCTCTCATGTGTTTTTAAGAAATGGGACTCTCTGAAGGCTTTACCACACTGTTTACATTCATACGGTGTCCCTTCAGTGTGTATTCTCTCATGTCTTTTAAGATAACGGAGACAACTGAATGCTTTAGGACACTGCCTACATTTATAGGGTTTCTCTCCAGTGTAAGTTCTTTCGTGTTTTTGTAATTTACAGTTATCTATGTAGGCTTTTCCACATTCCTTACATTTATAGAGTTTCTGTTCAGTGTGCATTATTTTATGTTTACTAAGAGAATTGGGACAACTGAATGCTTTAGTACACTGCTTACATTTGTAGGGCTTCTCTCCAGTGTGAGTTCTCTCATGTGTTTTTAATAAATGAGACTCTCTGAAGGCTTTACCACATTGCTTACATTCATACGGTTTTTCTCCAGTGTGTATTCTTTCATGTCTTTGAAGATAACGTAGACAACTGAATACTTTAGTACATTGCTTACATTTATAGGGCTTTTCTTCAGTATGGATCCTTTTGTGTGTTTGTAATTTAAAGTAATCTCTGTAGGCTTTTCCACATTCCTTACAATTATAAAGTTTCTGTTCAATGTGCTTTCTTTCATGTTTGGAAAGAGAACTGGGACAAATGAATGCTTTAGTACACTGCTTACATTTGTAGGGTTTCTGTCCAGTGTGAGTTCTCTCGTGTGTTGTTAAGCAACGGGACTCTCTGAAGGCTTTACCACACTGTTTACATTTATAGGGTTTCCATCCAGTGTGTATTCTTTCATGTCTTTGAAGATAACGAAGACAACTAAATGCTTTAGTACATTGCTTACATTTATAAGGTTTCTCTTCAGTATGGATTCTTTTGTGTGTTTGTAGGTTAGAGTGATCTCTATAGAATTTACCACATTGTAGGGTTTCTCTCCAGTGTGAGTTCTTTCATGTCTCTGTAGACGACTGAGACAACTGAACGCTTTAGTACACTGCTTACATTCATAGGGTTTCTCTCCTCCATTGTGATTTTGTTCATGTTTTTCAAAAATTTGGAGATAGCTGAGAGCTCTCACACTCGCCTTACATTTACGTGGCTTCTCTCCATCTTTCTGATACTCACGGGGGTTGTGTCCAGTGTGACATCTGATGTGCCTATTACACGATGAATGCTGCATGAAGACTTCCCTATGCACACTGTATTCCCATGGTTTTACTCTCGGCAAAGTTTTCTTCTTCGGACTGAGATTTGAAATAAGGCTGAGGTTTTCCTCACACTGACCACTCGCTTCACTTTCATAGATTCTCTCTTCTATATGACTTCTGTGAAAATTAAGATGAACATTGTTCATGATTTCTCATTAATATTTTAGCATTTTGTAGAATATTTGAACTACATTTTTATGATTTATAGCAAAAGTATAGGTTTTCTGCTGCCTAAATTGGCTGAATTAAAGATACTAAATTTTCCACAAGAGAACTTCACCCTTATAATTATCAAAACTGTGATATTCGCATATAGGGTTTATTAATACCATTTCATAGTGAACTATTTTGCAAACACAAACCATCCATATCATATATAAGAAAGTAATTTGATAAAAAAAATTTTGAGAAATCATAAATTTGAAGAAGGGGTTCTTTTTGTTTGCTTCTTTTTAAAATTTTGTAGCATACCGGGACGCCCACACATAACATTAGCTTAATATTGTGCGTGTGACTCACCTTAGTTTTCTTCCCTGGTTTTTGTACTGATCTTCAATGTCATAATCTTCCATTCCTTTTCCTAAAAGCAGACCCCCCAAAAAATTCCAAAGTATTAGAAATTATGGGAAAATTATTAGATTTTAATTCTGTGGTGAGCTGTGACCATCCCCAGTTTATTTATCAATGCCCTGCATTTCGACATTCCACGTCTTAGAACGATGCTGATAAGCAACTAACACCTCACCTCTAATTAACAAGGTGAAGATGAAGTCACGCATACCTACTGAGGCCAGGTTCTCGAAGGTTTCCCGCATCACATCTCTGTAGAGTTTCTTCTGCGAAGGGTCCAGTAAAGCCCACTCGTCCGGGGTGAAGTCCACAGCCACATCCTCAAAGGCCACTGAGTCCTACAACATCCCAAATAACAGTAAAAGTTGTAAGACTTATAGCACTTGACACCTATACTCCATGTACAGAAAAGATACCTATGATTCCATCATCACCAAACATTTCTTTTATAACTTGATCATCAAAAGCTTGCGCTCGGTCCACACTTACTTTCTCATTATTTTAACAGCACCACAAATTATAATACATTTTTACTGTGATCACATTACATCTTATTTTTCTGTAATGGCAGGGTCCACAGCATGCTGGGAAATGACAGAAATGATAATAAATATGAAAAGAAAATTATCATTTTAAGACCATCAATTTCTTATAGAAAAATTCTTTCTTCTCCTTCCTTATTCCCCACCATTTACAGCATTCCGTGAAGCGGTGGGTCACTTCTGCATGCGGTTTTAATAAAAACGTAGTGAAGAACTGGAAGCTTTTATTCTACCCCCATTACCAAACATGCGAGTCCAGGAGGCCTGTGGAAATCCAACTTTTAATAAACCCCAGCTGGCTAAATCATCTTACAGTTGTTTAGACCATTAAAAGTATAGGCATACTATTTAATATTTTCCTTAACTTTATGCATTTTCATCAACATCGAGACAAGAACTTCCACCAGAAAAAAACCTTATGACTTACTAAGAGGCTTGGGTGATGGTTAGCATCTTGAAGCATTAAAGTATTTTAATTAAGGTATGTATATAGATTGTTTAGACATACTGCTATTTCACACTTAATAGACTACAGTAAAGTATAAACATACCTTTAATATACACTGGACATCCAAAACATTCATGTGACTTACTTTATTAATATTCATTTTATTGCCATGGTCTGAAATCACACCTGCAATATCTCCGAGCTATGTCTGTCATGAGATGCAACTGGCTAAATGAAAATATTCTTGCTGGGAAGCATTGCTATTACCTTGTGTAATATTTATCACAAACTCAGTTCTTCCTTTCTCTCTCTGTAGGATTTTATGATCTAGACAGTTATTTTGAACTTAGAGCTCAGATATTAGGAAGAAGGCATGACAACTTAACCAGAGAGAAACCCTATAAATGTAAGCACCTTATTCTCAGGTGCCTCAGGGCTGCTTCAAGCCTATTTTTGGCACACACAGGCACACATGCAAGATAATAATTTGGTCTTGCAAAAAAGAGCACACTGATGTTAATAGTCGATCCTTAGCTCTGCTGACCCTGAAGAACAGGTTAATAGCTGCAGATCGCAAGAGAGTTCATTTGCATCCACAATGGTTGATGGTGAATTTGCCTTTGATTATAACCTATGCAAACGTATGCTCACTTCGGCAGCACATATACTAAACTAGGAACAATACAGAGAAGATTAGCATGACCTCTCCTCAAGTATGACATGCAAATTCATCCCATACTTTAAGAATAGAATAGAAAAGTAAAAATAGGTAATGGTGCCAGCAGTGCTTTCTTCCAAAAGAATATTTAAATGTCCAGTCTCTAATCAGGAAGAAGCGTTTCCTGACCAGCCACTCTAGAGGCTGATCTTCCTTCTTCTGTCATTGCCAAGCTCCCCCATGGAGTAAGGAGCATGATCGCTCAACCCCAGAGCATAAGAATTCTTCAGCAGAAGACACCAAACATGACCAATAGGGTATGAAAGGGTTTATTGCTATTATTGAGTCTCCAGGGAAAGTAAAGTAGGACTCTCAAACAGGCATAAAATATAGAGAACTAGAAAATGTACAGAGACTTGTTTTGTATTGCGGTTAGGGGGTGGACTAAGGTGAGCGTTCACACACAAAGGTGGGAGCTTGCATGGATTTTAATCTCTGCTACCACAAAGAAGGGAATACTAAGGCTTTCTTATCACCTTGTACAGATGTGGGGCACAAGACAAAGAAGGAGGGATGAGGCTCTAAAGCTGTCAGCAGTCAGTGCTAAAAAAAATGGAGTCAGAGACTTCTGGTTTCTGGTCTGGCATTTGAGTAACTTAGAAGCTGTCATTCCCTACCTCCTTATAAAAAAAGCAAAGCAATAAATTTATTTTCTTAGGTACATCAGAGTATTTAGATTGCAGGATAACCCAGTGTCTCCATAACTAAGAAAGAGACAACAAAACTGGGCATTCTGAAACATACTCCAGATATTCAATTCTACTTCAGCAGTCTCATGCAAAGACAAAAAGGACAAAAAAGACACAACACAATACCCATGAGCCATAGGATAACACGCTTTACACAAAAGGTTTAAAAGCACATTACAAGACTATATGAAGGAAAAGACAAAAGAACAGAAGAAAGTAATGAAGTAACAACACTGAGATTTTCCTAAATTTAACGAAAGGCAGCACACTATAGAAGCAGGATGCTCAGAGAACACTCAATATTATAAACTAAAGTGCAGGACCAAGTATGTCATATACAAACTAGACAAAATTCAATATGAAGAGAATATATTGAAATAGGTGAGAAGAAAAAAGCACCTTGGTCATTAAAAAATAAAGATTAGAATTGAATTAGGCTTCTTTTCAAAAACCATGCAAGCATAAAGAGTGAAGAGAAATATTTCAAGGTGTGAACGAAAAACACCACTCTCCCAAAACTGTGCCAAGCAAACGTGTCCTTCAAAAATGAATAAGAACCTTCTGAGACAAAGATTGTAGGAATTGCTCATTAGTACATCCACCTGGAAAACATTAAAAAAATTCATCAGAAAAAATGATAAAGGTGGGGAGTTACAAAAACATGAAGGTTAAGAAGTCTTTTATAGTTCTTAAAATTGATATAACAGATGACACTGAAAGTATACTTTGCTGAAAGAAATCTTATCAACAATTTATTTGACAATTATAAGCTTATGGATAATTGACATAAATGACAACAAGATGACAGGGACAGAGAGGAGAAAACTGGGAGACACTATGAGGTACTTGCACAACCAGTGCAGTGGTGTACTATGACTTGACATAGGAGTTGACTTAGATGTAAATGTATAATGAAAACTGAAAAGCAACCACCAACATACTTTTTAAAAGTATGTGTAATTCATATCCTAAGATGGTAGAAAAAGAGAATCAGGTAAAATGCTCAATTAAAGCCAAAGAAGACAGAAAAAGGTAGAAAACAAAAAAGTAACAAAAACAAGGCCAACATAGACAAGAAGTTAAGGATGTCAGAAGCACAGTGGCATGACAGGCCCCTTGATCTCTCCCCTTGAGACTACAAGTTGAACAGCTATAATCCAAGGGAAGATTTCCAGCCTAACACATAAACACTTCTGAGATCTGCTCAGCAAAGCATCTGAAGGCAAATTGGACAAGCAAGGGAGGAGGAAACAGATTGCAGCACGCACCCTATGTAGCACAGAACATTTCTGCCTGAGTGATCGGCATATACTACTGGGGAACCCAGTGATCAGAGAAGAGACAGAATACAGAGGTATGACAGCTGTGCTCTAGCAGCCGCTACCATCAGGCAGAAAACGGAGACAAAGAGCATGGCTGCCTCTCCCCAACCTCCCAGAGCTAGCAGCAGGCCCCAGAGGAAGCTGCAGCAGTGAGTGTCAGGCTACAGACCAGGAAATCCAGAGCCCCAAGAACTGAGGAGACAGGTTCTGAGTGGCAGACACACACTGAGGCTGGTCCCATTGGCAAGGGTGAAAATACAGAGGGAAGGCAACTGAGGCCTAGTAGTCATCATTACTAGGAAAAAACAGAGCCACAGGCACACTGGCGGCCTCTCCCAACCCACCTCACACCCACCCACACAGGCTGACCCTGACACAGGTACCTGGGACACCTGAGGTAGCACTACATTGCATCTAGCCACCTGGGCAGCACCAAAACTACAGGGGCTTCGCACAGGCTTGAAACTCCAAGCCCACCACATTCTCCCATGGGGTGCAGCTCTTGGACCCAGACAACCAGATCACAGAGGAGACATACACCTCCCGAGGAAATAAAGGACATTTTTTTCTTTTGCTACCCAGCAAAGATCAGGAGGCCTGATCTTTTGCTACCCAGCAAAAATCAGGAGGCGGTACAGGAGGCTTGTGTGCCATTGACTGGAAAACGAAGGAAAAACCTTTTCTTATGAACGGGCTAAGGAGGCATTACTATTAATAATAATGTAATATTTTTAAAAGCAGAGTTCATTTCATAAATTTACAGGTGGAGAAATAGTCAGTCAAATATCCTGTATAACACCAAGGTAACAAGGCTCAGAAAGAATCTTTAAAATCTCCAGAAAATAAACTTGAAGATATGAAAAGAAATCAAGAGATACATAGAAACAAACGATAATGATATTACAACATATCAAAACTATGAGACATGGCAAAAGCAGTCATAAGAGGAAAGTTCATATCATTACAGGCCTATCTCCAAAAAACAAGAATGAGCCCAAATAAACAACCTAACGTTTCATCTTTAAAAACTAGAAAAGGAAGAACAAATGAAGCCTAAAGTCAGAAGGAAAGAAATCATCAAAATTAGAGCAGAAATAAATGAAAACAAAAGAATGATAGAAAAAATAAATGCAACAAAGAGCTGGTTCTTTGAGAAGGTTAATAAAATTGACAAACCCCTGGCTAGAATCACTAAAGAAAAAATAGAAAGGACACAAATAAACAAAATCAAGGATGAAACAGGGAAATTACGACTGATATTACAGAAATACAAAGGATCATGCAAGAATAATATGAAAAAGTATATAACACCAAATTTAATACTCTAGAAGAAATGGACCAGTACTTAGAAAAATACAATCTTCCTAGACTGAATCAAGAAGAACTTTAAAATCTAAATAGACCAATCAGCAGTGTAGAAATTGAAACAATCATCAAAAACCTCCCAAAAAGTAAAAGTGTAGGACCAGATGGCTTCACCAGTGAATTCTACCAAACATTCAAAGAAGATTTAATACCTATTCCCCTCAAACTCCTCCAAAAACCCAAAGAAGAGGTAATACTTCCCAACATATTTTATGAGGCCAACATTACTCTGATACGAACACCTGGTAAAG